ACCCTCAGAGTGCCTGTATTTTTGAAAAACAAGCCCATTTGTTAATATGTTTTGTTCGAATGCAGGGCCGCTGGATTCGAACCCGGGACCTTTACCTTACGGTGATGAGCGACGTGTCAACGCCTACACCGTTGCGGCCACCGACGCCCCCAAAAACATTGTTATCGTTAATATCCTGCCATTCAGGCACATAGCATATCGTACTTCGTTTAGTTTTGTTCTATGTAAGCAAAGTCAACCGTCACTACAACTTTAATAACTTTCAATTAATTATTAACCGAATTGAAATTTGCTAATAGTAATTCCCCCCATATTGCTTTTATTTCATATAATAATAAAAAAATATATAAAACAAGTTTTATGAACTGATTTGTAAACTTGGCATTTCCATTTAGTCTTATTTTTCCGGTAGAAACAATTTTTATAATAAATTCCATGGAATAAGGACAGAATCCAGGCAATTTTTACTTTGTAGAATTCTTGATTTTAACTTTTCTACATAGCCAAATAGAAGCACTTGGTTATTAAGATCACTAATATCGATTCAAGTTAGTTTAAAAAATCAAGATACTTTTTACATCATTTTACAAAAACTCTCTATTCTTCTCGTTGTTTGATGGCATTCCTCGATATGACTATGAATACAGTAATATTAGTGACCTAAATTGCAACAAAAAAAATTTAATAACAATACAACAGTTGGTTATTTATGATAAAATGAGCATAGTTATTTGTGATTACGATGAATAGATTTTTCCATGACAATTGCCAGCACGAAGTCGATACAAATGATTTTCCATTTTGGCAAATCAACGCGATAAATCGTCGATTTGTGTTATTCCATTTGAGGATTAACCGTGTATAATTACAATGGTGTAATGTTACCTATGTTTTACTAAGCGTTGTTTTAATAACCTGGATACAGGTGTTTACGAAGACTATATTTTAATGCATAATCGATAATGCTAATCTCAATTCATAAGTTAATGGCAAACGGTGTTGGGTAAAATGAATATGTGCTTCAAAAGTGATATGAAGCTAAGGAAGTTTAAATTACCCCTATCAACTGCACTGTCATAGTCTTTCTCCCATAAAACACGATATTACTGGAAGACGTGGGGTACCTCGTTGTAAATAAAATACTGTTTCGTAATAAACAGCTTATTTCCCTGATGTCCAGACGCAAAAGAACTGTACATAGCATAAATAAACAGAAAGCCATTAACAAAATACTCAACATTTTCTATATATTGTGATCTACTTAAATAAAGTTTTAAAGTATGTTTTTCTACTGACTTGTTTAGTTTTCATTTTAAAAAAATAATATAAAAAAATAATTATAATAATTGGACAACCTTTTTAACTAAATGACTGTAAACTCTTTTAGACGTACTCCTCCACATATACTGCTTTCGCTTTAAACTTTTTTAATGAACCCGGCCGAAGTTAACTTAAATATAAAATACTCTTTCGTCCCCGTACCCATGCACTGCACTCCTTTGACATTTACAAAACGGTTAAGTCGTCTAAAATAAATAATATAAGACAAATATCAAGTCAGTCCTGTCTGAAAAGGATTTAACGGTTCACCTGAATTAAATTCGGTTTGATGATCGGCCCCGGCATGATAGCCCGGCTGTGTACATTTGTTGAATAAACACTATCAAAGTTGGAGGAAAATCCCCTGCTCAACCTTTCTCTCCCTAATCTCAAATAATACACGGTTTAAATCCGGTAAAACTTTAAACCGTACATTATTTGACGCTGCTGACTAATGCCAAGGAAGGCCTTATAAAAATAAATATAAAATTTTTAGTATTATCTTTCACGTGGTCATATCTAAAGTGGATTAATCTTGCTATATTTTATTGCTTACCTACTATGTCCGTGCTACTTCATTTAACAAATAATCGCCATAAAATTGTCACATCTAACAATTAACTTTTTTCGTTAATGACTTTTGTAACAATACAATATAAACATAAAATTGGATCAAAATACGATACTTTATATTTAATCTCAAAATTATTCTCGACAGATATTTCTTTTAGCTATATCTTTAACTTCTTACATAAGAATCGTACAAATTCTTTGTATACCAGTGATTTATCAATTGCGGTGATACTTAAGCAAGCTTCGGACCTTTCTATAGCTTATAGTTAGAGGTATATATATTTATTAATTATTCGATGTAGATATGGAGGAAATTAGTTAATAATTTCGTAATGAGAAGGAAAGAAAGAAACTACACACTTTTAAAAACTACGTAAAATAGAGTCATTTTTGTACAGTAGAGACTAGTTAGTAAGATGACGAAGATTGAAGAGATGAATTCTCTCTTCCGTGTGTGTGTGTGAGTGTGTGTGTGTGTGTGTGTGTGTGTGTGTGTGTGTGTTTGTATTTTATTCTGACCGCATGTCTGGTAATCTGACTCTCTCCTCTCTCCCATTCTCTATTTATATCACTCCCTCTACATCTGTATCTCTCTCGCTCGCTCGTCTTAATTTGTTTGAATGTCTGGTACTACATTCATTCATTCATTCATTCATTCTCTCTCTCTCTCTCTCTCTCTCTCTCTCTCTCTCTCTCTCTCTCCCTCTCTCTCCAAACGTATTTTTCAAATTCTTAAAAAGTAGATCTAGAACCTCGCTGTTGAGTCCAAGAACAATGTTGATACGTTACTAATTTCCTATATGAAGCCAAGCTAACATAATTACACTTAAATTAGCATAAATTTATGCACAATAGGCCAATACTGGTCGCGGTGCACAGGTCGTAAAAATTCTGGCTCCTTTATAACCTATCTAGCATAAATTTTATGCATAAATAAAAAAATGCCATCTTCATTTTATTGCTTTTGTCATTTTAATATTCATTGTTAGAAAGCGGTAGTTGAGTAAAATTAATTTTTTTTTCAGGTTTTACATTTTGCACATATTTTTTCTTCCACACACACGCACACGCACGCACAAACACTCTCACTCTCTCTCACACTCACTCTCTCTCTCTCTCTCTCTTTCTCTTTCTCTCTCTTTCTCTACCTTTAACTCACACTCCATCTGAGGTATTGTTCTCTCTCATTTTATCTGTGTTGAGTTGTGTTTTCCTATCTTTTTATCACAACCGGAAACAATTTAAATCGCGTCAATAAATAAATCCTACCTATTTTCATCAAATTCATAAAAGAAATTAAGCGTACTATTTACTTTTTCATTCCCATGATTTTCAAGGCGGCGGACAATTAACAAGATATATCGGAAATCATTGATCTATCTGTAGTATTTATATGTATTATCCCCCTAATAAGAGCTAACTAACGAATTGGAGTTTTTACAAATAGGCCTAGTGGCCCGAGTAAATCTGATAAGAAACTTCACCATATGACCCTAATCAAACTAACAAACTTTGATCGAACCAATTTACCACCCAACTTTGTCGACCCAAATTCTGATAACACTCCACAATTATGTAAACATTAGACGTGGGTAGTCCTAAACATTTGCGGTAAACAATGAAATGGAACCGTAGCTTTCATTTTTCCCCTCCCCCAAAAAGTTGTCTCTCTTTGGCTTTAATAATAAAATGGTCAATTTACGTATTCCCTGTCGTTGTGTTTTTTCAATTTTTTAATGAACAGATCATATATTGATATGCTTTATCAAAAACACAATTCTGATTTGGTTAAATAATAGAAGGAAATGGTGTGTGAGAGGTGTATCTCATCTTTACTGATACTTATTTACAAACATCAAAATATTTTAAGTTTAAAAAAAATAAACTTTTAATATTAATTTGTATCGTTTCTCTCAATAAAGATGACAATGGATAATTTTGGTAACGATATGTCAGTTGTTTCATGTCTTTCTTATAATGAATGGAAGAGGAATGCAAATTTTGATTGATTTTCGTGGAGTTTGGATACGCGACGACCACTCCTGAGAAGTAGATCCCTCGGGAACTCCGGTCAGTTAACTTCCCTTGGAAACCCTGTCCTTCAGACAGGGCGGAGCTATTTGACGTCTCCCTTAGGAAATTACCACCGTCAAATATTCAAACCGATGTCACCCTTCACTACCTTGTAAACAGATCGTTGGACTTGTCCATCACAATTCGGCTGTCTTCCCTTCAGCACTTCGTTAATAAAATAAAACAAAAGAGACTTCGATGAGGATTTAATATTATTTACACATAATATTGCACCCCCTTAATGAAATTCCATTAGCCCTAGCCCTTTTCAGTATCAAGGGATTGCCTTGTGCCTTATAATACGTTTCGTCTTTCATAATTAAAATTCCTTAATATTCCCATAATTCACTTTCACTTTTCCCTTTTGTAATATCTTTTTTAAGAGAGCTACTATATTTCAACCAGGAAGATTTTTTCGTCTATGTCCAAACAAACTTCGTCAATGACGAGGTTGACAAACAGTGAATTTCAGTCAAATGAAAAAGAAACTATTATTCTATGTAGTACTTACTATAAATCTTTTTCTCTCTCTAAACTACTTCTACTTTCCTATTTCCTCTTTCAGAAATATCTTTATACCATTTCTCTCTTTTGATCTTTCACGCACTAACTCTTTTCTCTTATTTTTTCTATTCATTATCTCTTCTCGTTTAAATATTCTTTCTCTCTCACTCTCTGTTTCTTTCTCATTCTCTGTTTTCACTCTCGGTTTTTGTCTCATTCTTTGTCCGTCTCTCTCCTCTCTCTCTCTCTCTCTATCTCTCTCTCATACTCACATTTTTTAGATCTATTTATGTTTCGAATTTTTACTAAATGTGTGTGTTTAGAACAAATCAGATTGAAACTATAAGCAAAGCAGCAATGACTTAAAAGCACCATTCATCATCTATCTATTTTACAAACAAGTAAAAGCATTCAAAACCAAAAGAAAATATTGCACACGTTAATATGTATCTAAAAGAAATTAAGCAAAATATTTTCTAAAACTACATCTATTATCTAAACAAAATCTACCTTAAAATATTTTAAAGTACCTTTCAATGGTGGCCCTCCACCTGTAACATAATAATTGTTAGTATATCTTACTTTTTTTAACCGTTTAAATATATATTTCTCTTCAGTGAAACATACTAACAAGCAAAAAATTCCACCCACTTGTAATATAAATTGATTTGTATGTATTTTTATATATTAATCAAAGTTTCAAGTTTTTAACGCTTAATAATTGAGTCTTTGTCTAAAAAAGTAAAAAAAATGTAAATTGCTAAGGAAAATGAAAAAAAGACGGACAGATAAAATATGTTTTAATTAGATTTTTAATTAACATTTCAATATCGCGTATTTCCTCGTCTTGCCATAATTACATCTCGAAGACGCCTCGGCATACTTTCTACCTGTCTGGAAATGTCTCTGTGCTGGAGGTTAGCCCATTCTTCAAGAAGAGTCTTTTTGTGATCGTGGAGTGTATCAGGTGTTCTTCAGTGAAGGACGTGTTCTTATCCGTTTTGAGGTTATACTATAAATGTTCGATGGGGTTCAAGTCTGGAGAACGGGCTGACCAGGCTAAGACCCTGATGTTATGCTGTTGAGGGTACGTTCGTATACCGACATACGAACGGGCATTATCGTGCTTAGACGAGGATTGTCGCATATTCATCGAGGATAGGCAACGCATGATTTTCCAAAATTTCATCCACATAGGGAGTGGCCGTCAAAAATCCTTCACGGTTCTTACCTCCATGAACAACAACCAACTCTGTGCGACTCTCCATTGAAATTCCCGCCCACACCATCACTGAGCTAAGTTGAAAATGTCGGCTCTGGGAAAAATTACAGGCTTCGAACCTTTCATTTCGCTTCCTCCATACTCTTTCACCCCGGTCTGGAGATCGTAGATCAACTCATCTGTAAAAAGTACAGCATACCAATCATCCAAAGAAGCCGTGCAAATCTGTGTTTTCTGTTAACAGTAAGGTGGCGGTTTCGCAAAATTATCAAAGTCAAAAAACGTTCATCCTGTGGTTCCGTTACCCTAGGGCATCCAGAACCGGGCCTTCTATGGTAGGACCCAGTTTCTCAAAAAGGTCTAACAGCGTCTCGCAGAGTATCGTAGGGACCTCCGATGGCAAAGAGTCGCTTACCTGATGAAACGTCCATCATCATTAAGCGGCCCATAGACGATCAATATTATTGCACAGTATTTTGGGTTGTGCAATTGAATTGATCGTGTGTAGTCGATATTGAAAGTTTGTGCAATACATTGCATGATTGACGAAAAGTTGAAAATATGTATATTGTACAACCTGGAAAATATTGCACCATCTGTTGGCATTATTGCGCTATATCAATCAGTTTGTGAAGTATCAACAAGTGGAAAATATTGCACAAACTTCAATATCGCCTTCAAACTATTCAAGTTCATTGCACAAACAAAATTTTGTACAATATTATTGAACGTTAAGGGGCAACCGTCAAATTATTGTGCAATCTATAGTGTAAAATAATATTGACCGTCTATGGGCCGCTTAAAGTGCCACATAAAGCGCAACATCCTCAGCACTAAGTGGCATTTTTAAGTTTAAAAATTGAATTTAAGAAAACAAAGATTAAAACTAAACACTTTATTGCTTCCGAATTGAAATGAGACATTTTTAATTCCGTAAAAATTAAATATTGAAAAATCCTTGATTTTTATTTTGGATTAAGGATTGTGTTTACCTCTAATTGATAATCCCAATTTAAAACATAGCATAAAGAAATATTAATTGATAAAAACAATGAGACAAATTAAGGGCAAATTTTTTTTTCTAAGAAAATGAAAACAAATTAATTGGATGGAATTATTTGCCTTTCAGCGTATTTTGGATAAAATTATTGTACCTTTGTATTATTAAGGAAACTTGTCGGTACTTCTGGGCGACAAAATCAAACATGTTCTTTAAGAAATACATCGTGTAAATATAATGAATATTAAACATTGCAAAACTGGATGTTTATATTAGATTTTAATTTTTAAACATGACAGTTCGTTGGATTTTTAAATTCATGAAAGTTGTTTTGCTAATTGTTAAATTTCCGTCATATATTTTTAACATTTTATAATATTTCAAACGTCGTTTAGAGTATGAAATGTCGAAAGTAGTGAGGAAAGACTGTTTTCTAATGCGACGACATAAGCTTTCATCGCAAGTTTAGTCAATGCAATTGATCAGTAGTTCTGTTCGTTTAATCTTCAATCCTAGCGGCAAATCTCCTTGGAAGGCGAAAATTGATGGCCGGGTACCCAGTGGCTTCTCGTCATTCCATTACGGAAAGCCACCCTTTCACTCCCCTTCTCCGGCCCTTCTCCTTGAAGTCTGATAGCCGCTTAAGACAGCCCCCGCCTCTCCCGTTGTGTATTTTGCCGGTAACAATGTTTACATTTAGATTGCCTTCATGAAAACGCTATTTTACATACTTAACTGGGAACCGCCGTCAATCCGTAGGAAAGCCGGGAAGGAAAATATTGAAAATACAAAATGGCGTTTTAAAACGGATTTCTTTTACGCCTCGTTTAAATTCGGTGACTCTATTTTTTCCGCTTGGACTCAGAAAAGGTTAAGTAAATCGTTACGTTGGTTAAGTTATTTAGTTATAAAGGTAAAGCCATAAAATCATCTCCACGAACAAAGTAAACAACTGTATACTTTCACTTTTGTTGTTTCCCATCTTCAGCCTTCGAAACTGATGTAGTAAGAGAGGGGGAGAGAGAATTAGTAACGAGGGAGATAATGTAGGGATAGCGAGTGAGAAAGAAAGAGAGAGAAAAGAACAGACACTGACAGAAAAAGCGAATCTGTAAGAAAAGAGATTACCGTACAGTAGAATATATGAAAATGTAGTAGAATAAGTGAAAGGAAGAAATGCCTTTTGAAAAAGGCAGACAGCCAGAAAAGGCGAACGAACGAGTTAGATAAAAACAGAGAAATAAATAGAAGAGGATAGGAGCTAGTGTGTAAGAAGGTAAATATAAGAATATAATAAAGTGAGTGAAATAAAGTGATAAACAGGAAGAAGAATAGACAAGGGGGAAAAAGAAAGGAGAAAGAGAGAAAGGGAGAAAGAAAAATATATCTTTATTATAATATTATCACTATTAATTCATTTATATTTTGTGGTCTAATTGACCAAATTACCTATTTCAATTAATTATTCTTTCTAACCACTTGACCCGAAGATCGTGAGTTCGAATCCCGCTCGTGACATTAACTTTTTCATTTCAACCAAGACCTTCACTCTCGATCAAGGTATGGTTTTGAAGAAGAAGATAGCAAATTTAGTTGCTAATGCCATAACGCACTAAATTTGCTTTGATCCAGAGTGTTCGCAAAAAAAAAGAGAATACAGTAGACTATGGGAAATAGAGACAGACAGCTAGAAACGAAAAAAGTGAATTACTTATAAACGTAAAAACAAATAAAAGCAGTAAACAAGTAAGAAAGCGAGTGTATAAGGATAAAAAATATAAGAATGTAATAGAGAGGGTGAATCAAAGAAAGGATGAACAGAAAGAAGAACCAACAGAGAGAGTGACCGACAGAGACAGAGTGTGAATAGGACAGAGAGAGACAGAAAGACAGACAAACAGAGATACAGAAAAAGAGAAGAGAAAGAGTGAACGAAAAACAAGATGAACACAAATAAGAACCAAAAGTGACAGACAGAACAGAGTGTGAATGGTACAGAAAGAGAGAGAGAGAGGAGAGAGAGAGCGAACAAAAAGTTTAAAAGATGAATTAATAATTAATTTTACTTAATACTTAAAATACGATCATTTTTAATGGCGGAAGAAAAAATAAAATTTCCTCCGTTGACAACTTTTTTCATGCAACTTTTAACTGGTTGCTGGTATTTTACTTACCTACCTTAATAGGCTCAAAATAAACTTTTGGACTTTTCACTAAAAAAATGTCCAAACGGTTATCCAAGTGTAACTAAATAGAGGGAAATGTTATCCCTAATTAATGACCATCTTGACGGATATCAAGTGAAACTGACATCACTCGAAATTGATGGAAAGAGTGTTTTTAACTGGTACTTTACGTCGAGTAGGAGGGGACAATATAATTTTTCAGGTTATTACTGGCAACGCTGACGATTAATAGTCGAGAAAAGAACTTTTCTCTGATAAAAATGAGTAAATACCGGCCATTTTTATTAAAAGGATTTATTTGCTATTGTTTGGAATAGGATATAAACAAATCTTTGAAAACATTTTTTTATTTACAGCTAGTAAAAACCTAGAAACCATTCGGAAAAATAATTGGTTACAAAAAATTTGTACTTATACATAGAAATTACGAATGTGCGTTTAGGATTGAATAAATAAAAATAATTAATGCGATGTTAATTATTCAAAATGGTTTGTTGTAAAATGCATTAATTTTTTCCAAGTTTGGTTGGGTACTTTGCTTGTCAGTTTAAAACTAGGAAATAAAAGGTCTCTTTTTAAAAAAATTATGAATTCTTTATTCACAATATCCTTTTTTCGAGGTATTTTAAAAATTCTTCTCGTTCGATTTTTACGTCGGTTTTACAAGCCATTTCCATCGAGCTGTACATAACAAAAGGGATGGAAAATACAAAAAATATATAAATAATAAGTGGAGGTCAGGTTGTCGACTAGGGGTCGGAGGAAACAAAGGTTACACGCGTTAATACACGATGAATATAGATTTCGCATTCATCATACGGGTGGAAGATCGGAGGTGTGGTTACAATCATACAACCACAGCCGATGATTGATGCGTTCCAATTGATGAACCTTCGGATGACCGCCTCCTTTACAACATCAACATCCATCTTTTGAAGAGAAAACAAAATCCGATCGATATACATGAAATACGGGCTGACGTCCTTTCAATATTTTCAGACTCATTTTTCTTCCTACGTCAATTTACGGGCAGAATGAGGGAAACGTTTAACAGAATCCTCTTCCTGATCTATTCGTTGTATTCTTTTTGTTTAATTTAACATTATTCACTGATTTTAAATTAAATTCTTATAGTTATTATAT